TTAAATAAAATTCCAAAGGCACTGCATGACTGGACAGTTCATTTCTTCCTTGCCACCAATTGTGTTAATTAAAGGTTTGTACAATATCTACAATATCTACAAGACACACAACGAGGTTTTCAACATACCAACGGGACAAACCTAACCATGTGCATCTATGTTCATGACAAAAATTGTCACTTTCGCAAAGCATGTCCTAACAAACTATTATAGAGAGAAGGAAAAAAATAAAGGGAGTAACAAAGTATAACATGTTTTTCACGTGTTTAAACAAATATTTACTATACAAAACACACACATGCAGGACAACATATACATTTACACAAGTTACTGTCCACATAACGAACAAACTGTCATTTAAATGAATCAAAACAGAGCACACATGTGAATATGAACTAATATAACAAATTCAGTTACAAAAGTTCCCTTCCCATAGGGACCATCTACCAATACAACCAAATCTTCCTTCAAACTCAAGACTCAATGCAAGAAAAATGTAAACCATGGACTACAAAAAGTTATACCATTGTGTTACAATTACTAAATGAACATAGTGAATACACAGTATATTTTTAATTCAAACTGGATTGTCGGAGACATGAAGCCACCATTCATGTTCTCTTATTGAGCACTGCATTTTTTCCCACAATTGACCCAAGTGAAAAAATTACAGTTCTTTAGAGAAATTGGAAATACTGCAATGCTGACACTTCATGCCCCCCCCCCCCCTCCCCATCTGCACTAGTAGGTTAGGTTGCTAATCTAGGTTTTGACCCTTTTGATCAGGTTAAACCTCGGCATTTTTATCAGAGGGGAAATTTGACAGAACAGGCAAAGCCAGCAGGCCAGGATGTTATTACTCACAATAGAGTGGATTGCACATTCCTTTCAATGAAGTACAGCATTCATGCTGACCAGACCACGCACTAGAAAGTGATGGGACGACGACGTTTCGGTCCGTCCTGGACCATTGTCAAGACGACCGAGACTTGAGAATAGTCCAAGGTGGACCAAAACGTCGTCGTCGATTCACTTTCTAGTGTGTGGTCTGGTCAACTTACTTTAGCCACGTTATTGTGACTCATCGCCTACAGCATTCATGTTCAAAGTACTGTACTCACATTGTATATATAAATATAATGTCATACAAAGAATTTTTTTTCAAGTATAACACCTGTCATCTCTACATTTGTTTGAAAAGAAAACAAGCAATCATAACATATAACACTAAATATACGAAAATATTAAACCAAAGACACATTAACAAAATTCTTTTGAGTTACAAAAGTTATAACACAGAAATTTCAAAATAAAAAAAAATCAAAATTTATTCGCAAACAAAATGCAGAGCAACAAAAATATAATTAGTTGGATTCCATCTCTACACATCATTTCGCACAATCTGAATCCACCATAAACAAAGTTACACCATATTTGAGAAAAATCAATATCTGGGTATCTTGTTTTTATTGTTTATTAATTAGAATGAATTAGGACGAGAGGTGAAAGGAATGGTGCTTAAAAGAGGTTATTTCACCTATATTCAGGTCTGGTAGACTTAATATATTAATTATTGGACTCTTTACACCAAGTCAGGCAACAGGACAGCGAGTTATTTGGTGTCTAGTTCTCTCTATACCTATCCATCTTATACTTCAAATATTTTACATTACTTTACCACTGTTCTTTTGAGTTATGTGGCTCTAGAGGAAACCGATTTTTTTAACCTATGACTCTGCCCATTTCATGTCTTTTTTTTTTTTTTTTTTAATTTCACATTGGCATCCTAAAGGATATCGAGAAACTTTTACATATTGCAACACAGGTGCTTATAATCATCGGGGCATGGCGCCAGCTTTTGATACATGACACACAAATATTTAAATTTAATTTAATACAGTCATTTTCACTGTTATCATCATTAAACAACAATTTTGTAATCTTTTGTAACAGGTTTCATTTCTGTATTATATGTATAATGTGTACATGAAAAGAATATATACCCTTTTCTCCATAAAATTACAAAAATTATTTCACATGGATGAAATTTATACGTTACCAACAGGAACGCATCAAGTATAAAATTAATATCTGACTGTCGTGTTAAAAGTACTTTTTTATATGCACCATTTTTTTTGGGGGGTATGCATTTCAAAATAAAATCAACCTACAAGGCAAGCAAATTACTAGCAATACCTAGTCATTCCAGTGGTAACTACACTTCTTGCATCTTTTCAAATAGCATGAAAGCCATTTATCTTTTATCAAATACCCAGCATACGATTTTCAGTCACTAGAGAGTACTTTGAAGCATTATTTGTACCAATAAGTTGTTCCCATTTATGTAAATGCAATCCACATGAAAGTGTACAATTCTTAACAGACTATATTCCGAGTACTTTGAGCATTTTTGTGACCCCGCCCAAATAAAAATAAACATAATAAATGACTAAACTTGATTTCTATGCAAAAATAGTGCTTCTCTTAACCACTAAACAGCACAGCTATTCAAAAGTACCACAGTGAGGTGCACATGTTTAAAAAAAAAAGTTAAGAAATCAAATGGAGAAAATAGCAGAGCTGCAGAAATAACAGAAAATAGAGGTGCCATAGGCACAATCAGTGAACACTGCCTGAACATCAGGGGTTCACCGCTGTTCAACACCCTCCCAGCAAGCATTAGAAATATTGCCGGAACAAAGGTGGATGGCACTTAGACAAGTTCTTGCCTGAAGGGCCGGCCAATCAGGCTGTAGTGGATATGTGGGCCTGCAGGGCCGCTCCAAGCAACAGCCTGTTGGACCAAGTTATCACAAGTCGAGCCTGGCCCCAGGCTGGACTCGGGAAGTAGAACAACTCCCGAAACCCTCTCTAGGTATGCTCCAGGTAAGCATATGGCAATTATATCAGTTTAAGGGTTAATATATCTTATGATCTACTTTATTCTAATAATGACTTAGCTATAAGCTTGATTCAAAGTTAGCTGCCAATAACCTCATTGGAGGTATACTAAGCAAAATTCCTCCTCGTACAAAATGGACTAGCCAGTGTATACAAAGGGTTACAAGACAACATGCCTTCAGTCTAACACACTTGACAACCTAGCCACAATACCCTAATGGCTGCAGGTTGTACACCAAGGGTGTATTGCACTTCGTACTTATTAAGACAATTCTTAAACTCTAGAAATGAACTAATAATGGTGTGTGCATATCCTTTAAAAATGTGTATTAATTGAATGATTTACTATATCACAAATGTAATGAGACACTTCCTGCAATAATTACAAAACTTGCACAATAAATTTTTAACAAAATTAGAAAGCTATGATAAAATATTGAAACTGTATGAGAAAAATCATACAGCTTCAGTATTTTCTTAATACAAAACTTGTAAATTATTAATTGGTGTTAAATTTAACTTCAAAACATCACTTACAATTTGTCCTCATGGTTTTACAGAGCACACAACATCCTCACAACTATGCAGTTGAAAGCATATCTAAGTGGAAATAATATTTTGCTCTGTATGGGTTTCAGATTTATCACATTACTTCCAGCAAAATATCCCCTTCAATAAAGTCAACTCTCATTGTAGCATTTCTCTAATTTTGTTACTTGCAACCTTCCAGTGGGCAAAACATGCTTAACTAATATTTAATGTACATTTAAACATTTATTCAGTGTTGAATCAACTTCTTCTAGCCAAGGGAGGGGGGGAGGGGAGACAGTGAATACTGCCCCTCTATATAAAAAATAAAAAAATCAAGATCAATAATTTACAATTGATTCAGCATTCACAAGTACAGTACTTTAATATAACATTCTCAAATAAATCCTAAAATATTTCCATAACCTTGTCAAAAAGAATTCTAATCTCATAATTTCTACAGTGTATTCCCTCAAAAACACATGTATTTAGGGAGAATACATCACAAACTCATTTGGATGTATCATTTATATAAAACACTGTACTAATAAAAATTATTTTTGTTTTACATGACAAGCCGCTTGAGGCAATAGAAGGCACAGTACTGCCCTGAGAGTGTTAGCACATTCAGTACATTATACCTTTGGATCTACATTCACAAAGCACAACCCGCCAAACACGCGACGAAACTACGACGATGCTACAACGTTCCAGCAAGTTTTAACACCTAACAACTTGTAACAACGTTCTAATGTTATAAAAATGTTATACCAAGATGTAACAACTTTATTACAAGTTGTAACAAGTGGAAAATAGGGACAGTTTCGTTGTGTGTTAGCAGGCTATGTGTACTACTTAACATAAGTACAATACACTGAAAGTGATTTGTCAATTATAACGGGCCTTTTCTATACACTGCGTTAAAGTAAGTTATGGCAAGTGCTTAAAATTCTAATACATCTGTCTTGTTCAGCGATGCAAGTCAATCCAGCCTACTACCAGAATGTTTTTCAAAGCTTCCCTCTAAAATATAAGATTATCTACCACATCACATGCATCAAGCCCAGGTGCATAGGAACATCTTTACAAGAAAGTGGTGATCTCAGCAGCCACAAAATGCACGCACTTGTGGACACCACTTAAGAAAACACTACTCAACTGGTCACTTTGCCTTGGTTGTGGGCTTTTGTACGATGATGAGGGGTCTGTGTGACCCAAGGATGCAGGAAGACAAATTTACTGCAAAACGACATAAATTAGAACTTGCAATAAAACCCATTAAACTACCTTTTGAGAGGTTAGTACTTAACCACTGGTAATCAAATAAGAATTGTTGTTTGATAAATGTTCAAGTGTATTAAACTTTTTCCATTTAGCACAAAAATTCAAACTTTCATGGACTAAATACCACTTGCCAAGTCCCATAATTCCAAGCGTGCATTTCACCCATCCCTAGTGCCACTGAGTATGAAGTAATTATAGGCTTTGTAAATATTTTCAATCTGGGATACCTTTCATTAAAAATACAGTGTAATTTTCTACAGTTTAAAAATGAAATTTATTGTTTTTTCAGAGATTCGGAAACTATCAAATTATATCGAACGTATTTGAAGATCTTTTAGCAGTAACCCTAAGCACAGATCATTTATACCAACTAAAAACTTGTTATATTTCCTCGGCAACAACAGTTATCGTCAATTTCCGGCTTGGCCACCTAAATGTTGCTGGTAATGCCACCTGAAAAAAAAGAGTGCATTAAAAATTAAAAACAAAACATTTCAATGTGTCAAGAGGATGGGTACACAAAGATAAATGTAATACAGTAATCTGATAGAAAAATTATATAATTTGCAGCCAATTTTTTTTAAATCATAATGAAACTAGAGAATGTAAAGCATAAATAATTTATTTCATTACTTCATAACTAGACTGACAGGAATTTTTAATTTATTCACCAAGTGTAGAGATAAGCACTAAAATACAATTACATATAGACATTATACATAATGTTTTAGATGTTTTTTGACTTGGAGTGTGTGATAAGCTTTCTAAACATTGTGCCATTCCCAAAACTACAGTACAGTGATCCACTGTGCCTAGTAAAGATCACAACAGAATCACACAGGAAAACATACAGAACCAATGCTACAAGACTCCTTGACCCATTTAGGACCATTAAGAATCATCATGCACCAAAGTAATTATCAAAAGAAGCAGGGAAGGCTATGTAACATCAAATGTGCGGGATATTCATAGGGCACTAAATATCACTAAGGATCCCAATACGAGAACAAAAGCACATAAGGCGAACGATATCTAAGGTATCCAAATCGCCGAGAATTCTATCGAGGGACAGTCGGGAAGCAAGACATGCACATCCTGGAAGTCGGGACATTCCACAAGGATATGCACGACCGTAAGAGACAATGAGGTTTGGACAATAAGGAGCAGGAAGGCGTTCCATTAAGTGCCCGTGAGTTAAACGAGTATGGGCAATACGTAATTTCAGCAGAGCCATTTCCCACCGCCAGTTATGGTGGTAGGAGGTAGGCCATAGGGACACGCTACTCTTAAGAGCATGCAGTTTGTTACCAGTAACAGAAGACCAACGACCATGCCAACAGGTAAGGGTTGAGGAATGAACAACAGGGTAGAAGTCGGAATAGGGGGGATACCTTTATGGGGGATACCTTTAGGGGAGATGGGACAAGAGGCGATAGCCTCCTTAGCAGCAGCATCTGCACGCATATTTAAGGACATGCCAATATGGCTGGGACCCCAGCAAAGAACTCGACTATCTTAAATCTATTGGAGATAAGAAACAGGCAATGTTGAATTTCGACTACTACAGGATGGACTGGATTAAAGGACTCCAGAGCCATAAGGACAATGTGAGAGTCAATTACAACAACAAAGGAGGGTTGACAGCGAGAAAGCAGTTGACAAAGAGCACACAAAATAGCATAAAGTTCTGCCATGAAGATGTTAAGTCTCTGGAGGCAGGTGACACATATAGGTGTGGTCAGGAAAAAACAGTAAAAAAAAAAAAAAAAAAAAACCCGCCTGCAGACTTGGACCCATCGGTGAAGATGGAAATGGAGCAGGAGTGTGAAGAAAAGTATTCAAGAAAGAGGCGTTTCAGAACTGTAGGATGGGTAAAAGCTTTAATTACGTGGGTCAAAGTTTCACAAAACTTAGGAAGGGGGGACCCTCCACTTGGGCAAGGACGGAACAACATGAGGAGAAATATTTGTAACACGAACCGAAAGAGAATCTTGTAAGCGAGACAACCGTACAGAAAGAGGTAAGTGGTAAAGGGAAAAGGGTCCACAGGAGGGGTACAGGTCAAAGTTCGACATAAGCGAGAGTGAGGGAGATGTAAGAACCGTGCAAGGTAGCGAAGACAGTAGTGATCACTCGATCCTGTAGAGACAGGACGCCAGTTTTAACATACAGGCTTAGGGTAGGAATCGATCGAAAGGCACCAGAGCTGAGGCACAACCCAATATGGTGCAGAGCATCAAGACAGTGAAGAGAAGAAGGAGAAGCAGACAAGTAAGCAGGTCAACCATAATCGAGTTTAGACAGTACGAGAGAGGAATATAAAGAGAGGAGCGTATGCCTATCTGCTCCTCAAGAAGTATGGGACAAGACCTTAAGTTAAGGGCCTTAAAGCATTCAACTTCAAGGTAAGAGATACGGGGTGACCGAAACAAATGAGTGTCAAAGATTAACCCCAAAAGCTTAGCAGAAACACTGTATACAAGAGGATGACCATAAAGCGACAAAGGGGGAAGGAAGAACGACCTGCTTCCGAGTAAAAGTCGTAGCAAAAGTTTTAACTGTAGAGAACTTAAAGTCATGACTGGTGGCCCAAGATGACACGGCATCAACTGTAGGTTGTAGCCATTGTTGAAGGAAAGGCGAGTCATCACCTTGACAACAGAGGGTAAGATCGTCGACATAGAGCACTGAGAAGATGCCAGAGGGAAGGGAGGAAAAAACAACATTGAGGGCAACCAGAAAAATAGTAGTGCTCAGAACACTACCTTGGGGCACACTTTCATATTGCCAAAAGGAGGCAGAGAGAGTAGTACCAAGTCTCCCTCTATAAAGGAATGACTAGAGAGGAAGCTTCGGAGGAAGAGAGGGAGATTAACACAAAGGCCAAAAGAACGGAGTTGGGACAGAATATGGTATCTCCAGGTGGTGTCGTATGCCTTTTCAAGGTCAAAAAGGTCAGCAACAACGGAGGTCTTCGCAGTAAAAGCAATCGTGCTGCAGCACTTGCGAAAGCCAAATTGAGAAGGGGAGAGGTGGTGATAGTGTTCAAAGAACCACATCAGACAGACATTGACCATACGTTCAAAGAGTTTGCAGACGCAACTCGTGAGGGCAATGTGGTGAAGGCTTTAGGGGATGTCCATAGAGATCCTTATGAATAGGAAGAAAACTGCATTAAGCCAGTCCTCAGGGACTGACGACGACTCCCAGATACGGTTGCACAGATTCCGTAATCTGTACGGAATCAGCCATTTGCCGATGTTGGTGTTGCTTCCAGGCTGCATGCTTACAGCAAACATCCCGAGCACAGTCTGCATTCCACCAGGGATGCACTTCCACATGCCCCGTGAGGTAGAGGAAGGAATAGAGCGAAAGGCAGCGTCTAATACCGTGTCACAAAAGGGGGAGGAGGGCTTGAAGGAGAGGTAGAGTGGAGAGGTTGTAAAAAGTAGCATGGAGGGTGAATAGGTTCCAGTCAGCCATTGTCAAACTGCCACCTAGGGAAGGAGAAGGGAGGGTGAAAAGAGAAAAAAGGTGACAAGGATGGGGAAATGGTCACTGTTATGGAGGTTATAAAAAAACCCATGTGAAATCTAAGTAAAGAGAAGACAAGCAAAGAAAAAGATCTAGCCAGGAGACGGGGAGAGTGCGGGAGTCCACACGAGTGGGTTCACCAGAATCCAGAAAAGACAGAGTAGAGAGAACAAATGGTTCTAGAAGGCAGCCCCAGGTGTTTGACAGAGCATTACCTCAGAGGATGTGCTGACAGTTGAAATCACCCAATAAGAGTACAGGCTCTGGTAAGGAGTCCAACAGGTGCTTAAGATCAGGAAGAGAAAGTGGGACATTTGGGGAAAGAAACAGAACAGACTGTATACCATTTACTCACAAAGATAGAGGCCACGGAACATTGGATGGGCGACTAAAAAAGTTGGGAGACGAAGGGAATATCAGCACGAATCAGGAGAGCAGTAGAGTTATGGGGCCCCAGCAAAAGCTGGAGGATGGGGGGGGGGGGGGGAAGAGAAAGTTATAAACACAGAAGTGACCAGGACGAGCGCCAAGTATCGGCTCCTGGAGATAGACACAGTGGTGAAAGCTGTGTTATCAGAAGTTGGAGTTCATGGCAGTTGGCATAAAATCCATGAATATTCCACTGAAGAATAGACATTGTCAAAAATAGAGAGAACAGAAACAGAGAACAAGGAAGAAACCAGACCCAAGAAGAACACAGTATACTAAGTAGGATCAGGATCAGTGAAATCTGGGTTGGGGGCATAGGAAAATCTAGCAAGGACGATGACGTCAAAGGAGTGGGAGGATGGACCAGAGGCAGATGGACCGAGTCCGAAGCGGGAGAGGGCATTGGAGAGGGGCGGTCAAGGGAATCAGGAGAAGGGGGGGACAGAAACAGGGGAGCGCACCTCATTAAGGGCAGCAACCGAGAGAGAATCGAGGACCAAGGAAACCTCCATAGCTGGGACAGGGGCTTGACCACTGAAATGGGAAGAGATATAGGGATAGAATCGGAGTTGGAAGGCAGGGAAGAATGCGATGCCTTCTTACCTGCCTAGGAGGAAAAAGGAAAGGAGCCAGGCTTATGCTTCTGACTTAGAGAGAGGTGTGCCAGCGACAATGTACTGGGCAACAGTCTCCTTAGTTTCAACAGGAGGAGAATGAGAGCGATCAACATGAAGATTGCTGGGAGGATGATGGACAGCAGCCTGGGCAGACAGGTGGTGTGGAGGGCCAAAAGACATTGGGGAGGGCTGTGAAGAAGGATTGAGGGGGAGATGGGAAAAAGGACATAGGAAATGGGGCAGACTGGGAAGGAAGGAATGAAACACCAGACGCTGAATGACAAGGAGGACCTTCTGTTTCAGAACATAAAGGAGCAGGTGAGGTGGTGGTGGGTGCGTCTAGGTCCAGGGCCCGAAAACAGTTTTGAGACTGAGAAAGGAGAGGAGGGTGAAGAGAGGTAGAACGCAACACCTGAGTATAAGATGTGTCAGCAAAAGAGGGGATACAGCAGACTTGGCATCACGCCTCGGGAAAAGATAAATGATCACGGTGCTTCAAATTGAGGATGGCTTCCTCAAATTTGTAATGTACACATGCGCGGGGAGAAGATAGGGTGGGCGTTACCACAATTGATGCAGTGAGCCTGGGAAGAAGAGCACTTCGTTTTAGTGACCAGAGTCAGGGGGGGCGGTCATGGAGCCAAGCACCCCAGTAAAAGGGGGTAAAAGGTGCAGTAGTCACAGTGAGAGGAGCCACTCCAGATGATGAGGTGGGCATCACTGGGGGCTTGGGGCTCAACCCTACCACAGAGGGAGGGGAGCGGAGGAAGTAGTCGGGAGGGCCAAAGGAGTAGAATGGTCTGGGCCCAATGTAGCAGGGGCTACAGAGCCCAGTCTTCCAACACAGTCTGACTCGGTGATATAATAATATAC